TGTTGCTCGTCAACTGTCTTAAATGTTAAACTCCTTTCTCAGTTGATTCCAGCTAGCTCTGCCCTCATTCTTTGTAATTACCCTTATTGTACAGTTTAGCACAGTTATTTCTGACTCAGGTTTCTCATACTCAAACTGAATACTATATTCTATCATATTATGCTCGCTGTTTACTGTAGAGATTTTACTTTGAGATTGTTTATTGAATCTGCCCCAATATTCATAACCAGATCCAAAACAGCCTGATCCCTGTTTGGGATCCACAATGTACCATTTTAGGAAACTGTCCTGAATACACTCAATGAATTCTTCCCTGTGGCTACCTCTGCCAATTTGAATTTCCCAATCTCCATGAAGAGATATCAATCCATGATAAAGGTACTGCCTTTTTTACATGCTGTCATTATCTCGTGATTTGTTATCTGCCCTGTAGAGTAGTTACTGGTAGACAGGAGTGGCCCAGGCTGTTGGATCAAGCCATTTTCCTTCTCTGATATTGGAGGTGATGTCTTTGCCATTTTTAAGCAGCACTATTGACATTTCATCTTTCTCAAAATTGCAAACTCCAGACTGGTTTATGCTCTATGAATGTCGGAATCAGAAGACAGGGTAGAGGCAAAAACCTAACTGTTTCCTTAATAGGCCAGGCAGCATCAGAGGAGCAGGAAAGCTGACGTTTCAGAGAAATTTCTGAAGAAGGGTCCAGACCCGAAACGTCAGCTTTCCTGCTCCTCTGATGCTGCGTGGCCTGCTGTGTTCATCCAGCTTCACACCTTGTTATCTCAGACTCCAGCATTGGCAGTTCCTACTATCTCTAACTGTTTCTTTTATGTTTATTTTTCCTTTCCCAGAGTCACTGGTGCCAAAAAAGCTATTTGAACTGTTTGTTGTTTCTGATTTACAACATTTGTAGTTCTTTCAGTTTTTATAAGGTATTCAAGCTAATGGCGTGCTCCAGATTCATTAAAACAGTAACGGGCAAAGTGGGAATGGGATCTCCATGGTCTGAGACCTATTTTCTTAACCCACAGGGCATCAAATTAAAAAAGTTGCTAATCAGTGGTAACACTTATGCCATTGGGTTCAAGCCCTGCTATGGAGAATTGAGATAACCTGGAAAGATACTTTAGTGCACAACTGAGGGAGTTGTCTTTGCAAAAAGATGTCAAACAAGGTGCAGTCTGCTCTTGCAGAACAATGCCATAGCCATATTTCAAAAGAATGTTGTGAGGTCTGCTCCATGTCCTGCCCAATATTTATCTTGTACCAATATCAATACAAAAGATGATAATTGGATTATTATCACATTGCTGATTTTTGGAAATTTGTTTAATGGAAATTGTCTCCAGCCTTTTGTACATTAGAACAGTAACCACACTTCAAAAAAACCTGATGAGTTACAAAGGGCTTTGAGTCGTCCTGTGTTTGTGAAAGGTGCAACATAAATGCATGTCTTTCTTTAAAGATTCTTTTGTTTTTTTCATCATGTAAGTATGCAAAAGATGCATTTCCAAATTTGCATAATGTAGGCCTCACTTCTAAATTGGCTCTCATCTCGAAACACTTTTAAGGAGCTTGCATTTTAAATAAAGGGCAGACCTCTCCATTTCCATCAACATAGATAATGTGAAACATAGTGCTGGTGTTGACTTCAGTACTGAGTCACATTCTAACAGTTCCACAAAACATGTGAAGCATACATTTGCTGCTAAAATTCTGTGATAACAGTGGGGGCTGTCATTGCATGGGCCGAGAGACTGAGAGAATTGGAATATTCTCTTGATTTTTCAAATAAGAGGGCATCTCATTGAAACATGCAAATTAAGCAGGGGCTTAATAGGACAGACACAGAGATTGTTTCCTCTGGGAAAACTAGAACATGAGGGTACAGCCTCAGGCTGAGGAATGAGGGGTGAGATCATAGAACCCCTACAGTGTGGAAAGACGCCCTTCGGCCCATTGAGTCCATACTGACCCTCCAAAGAGCATCCCACCCAGACCCAGACTCCCAACCCTATTCCTGTAACCTCACATTTTACCATGGCCAACCCATGGCTAGCCTGGACATTCCTAGACTAATGACACAGGCAGAAAGAGAGATGAAGTCCTGTAAAGGGAGTGTCGGGGAGAGGAGAGATTTCTTCATTCAAATGGTTTTGAATGTTTAAAATGCTCTCTTTCAGAAGGTTGTGAATGCACCATTGCTGAATACACTTAAAGATGGAATAGACTGATGATTGGCCTCTTACAGAGTCAAAGGATAGGGGGAGCAAATGGGAAAGAGTAAATGAATCCAAAAACGCAGCCATGGTAATACTGAAAGGCAGAGCAGCCTTGATAGTTTATTTAGCATATGCTTGCTCTTATTTCTCATGTCCTCATGGGGCAGGGTGATTGTATGAGCAGCAATGAACACATATTGATGCAGGTGCGATTCTCAAATATGTACTTGTTGCAGGGAAGAGAGCCAGAGAATGAGGATCCACAAACAGGAAAGAGATCACATGTTCATAGCAGGAAACGCACAGAGATAAGGGGAAACAGTGATCGCAAAGCGAGTCAGGGACTAAAAACAGATGCAACCAACACAATATAGATTTATACGTGTGAACAATTTGGTTTTATTTGCTCATGGCATGTGAGCATCACTGGCTAGGGCAGCATCTATTGCCCATATTGACTGTGGGTGACATTGGCTGGGTCAGCACATATTGCCCTTGAGAAGATGGAAGTGAACTGCCTTGAACTACTGCAGTCGATGTGCTGTACATAGACCCACAATGCTGTTAGGGAGGGAGTGCCAGGACTTTGATCCAGCAACAGTGAAGGAATGGCGATATACTTCCAAGTCAGGATGATGAATAGCTTGGAGGGGAGTTTGCAGGTTGTGGTCTTCCCATGTATCTGCTGCTCATGTCCTTCTAGATGGAAGTGGTCGTGGGTTTGGAAGGTGCTGTCTAAGGATCTTTGGTGATTTTTTGCAGTCCATCTTGTAAATAGTACACTGCTGCCACTGAGCATCGCTGGTGGAGGGAGTGGATGCTTGTGGATGTGGTGCCAATCAAGCGGCTGCTTTGTTCTAGATGGTGTCAAGTTTCTTAAGTGTTGTTGGAGCTGCACCCATCCAGGTAAGTGGGGAACCAGGAGGCGAGTTATTTGCCACAGTAACCGTATACCAGTACCTGCTCTTGGAGCTACTATATTGTGTGGCTTCCCCAGTTTGACTTCTGGTCAATGGTAATCCCAGGCTGTCGATAGTAGGGGATTCAGTGATGGCACCACCACTGAATGTTGAAGAACAATGGTTAAATTCTCTCATTGAAAATGGCCATTGCCTGGTATTTGTAGGGTACGAATGTTAATTTGTCAATTTTCAGCTCAAATTTGGACATTGTCCAAGTCTTGATACAGATAGACACAGGCTACTGCAATATCGGAGTCATTGCAAAGGTTGCTGAACATTGTGCAGCAAACCCCAACTTCTGACCTTACAATGGAGGGAAGGTCATTGATGGAGCAGCTGAAGATGGTTAGGCCTCAAACAGTGCCCTGAGAAACTCCTGCAGAGATGTCCTCGAGCTGAAATGACTGACTACCAACAACCACGACCATCTTCTTATGTGTCAGGTCTGAGTCCAACTAGCTCAGTGTTTTCCCCTCCATTTCCCAACAACTCTAATTTTGCTATAGCTACTTAGCGTAACACTTGGTCAATTGCAGCTTTGATGTCAGAGCAGCCACTCTCACCTCACCTCTGGATTTCAGCTCTTTCTTCATGTTTGGACCATGGCAGCAATAAGGTCAAGTAGGCCTGGGAGAATCCAAACTAAATAACAGTGAGCAGGTTATTATTATGGAAGTGCTGCTTGACAGCACTGACGTTCACCAGTTAAATCTCTTTGCACAATTTGTGAAAGTAATCTGATCAAGTAATAAGTAGCCAGGTTGTAATTGCCCTGCTTTCTGTGGTCAGGACATACCTCAACAATTTTCTACTTTGCTGGGCAGATGCAATACTGTAGCTGTACTGGTTTAGCTTGGCTGGGGGCACAGCTAGTTCTGGAGCACATCATCAGCACTGTTGCTGGAATGCTGTCAGAGCTAATAGCCTTAACAGTATCCATTGCTTGATATCATATCAAGTGAACCAAATTGGTTCAATATGGGCATCTGTGACGCTTACATACTCAAGAGGAGGCCAAGATGGATCATCATCTCAACAATTCTTGCTGAACTTGGATGTTAGTACTTTAGCCTTGTCTCTTGCACTGTGCTCCCCAATCATTGAGGATAGGGATATTTGTAGAGTCTTCTCCACTATTGAGTTGTTTAATTGTCTACCATCTCACACAACTGATGTGACAGGACTGCAAAGCTTAGATCTGATCTATTGGCTGTGGGATCACTCCGCTTTGTCTATTGCATGTGCTGGGGGAAGGGCTTTTAGGCAGGGGAAGAAGGAAAACAAGATAATTATTTTGAAAGAAAACAGGATAAGGGAGTACGGGGGCAGCTCCAAAGAGCTGTCACCAGCACAACAGGCTGGACAGCTTCCTCTTGTTCTGTACAATTTTAGGAATCTGGCCTTTACATGAAACAAAACTGTTCCAACTCCACGACGCTCAACGTAACAAAAATCCCAAGAGGCAAAAACAGTAGGTAAACCCTGATACTGTACTTTTTCCCCTTTCAAAGAGGTGCTTGCAAGATGGAGATATACTAAAAAAGTGGACTGACAAGAAATAATGGTTAAAAACTTAATGTTTTACTGCTCCTGTGGGTAGTGTGCTCAGATGTGACCGAAGCTACTGAGGTGAACTATTAAACAGCAGTAAATGTAGGTCTGTGAAAAACAAGAACAGGTGTGATCCTGAGCCCATGCCTGGGTAAATCCAATTACAGGTAGCTAGGCATCATAAAATCCATTCCAAATTTACAAATCCCCATGTCATTGCTTAATAACATCAACCATAAATAAATTAACAAAATCATATTCATAGTTCCAAATAAAATGATTTATTCTCATCATAACAAAGCAACCAAATGCTATATTACCAAGCATATCCTCTCCCTTTTACTAAGGTGACAGACAGCACAATACAGTTGCTTTTGTATGCACATGCACCCACACACACACTCAAAGTGTAATTTTCTGACCAATGTTTCTGAAATTCTGGGGGTTCATGCTGCACTGTCAATTAACTGCAAAATAGATGCATGGTACACCCCAGGAATTTCTGATATGAACTCCAGGTGGGTTTCCAGTTAGTCTGGAATCACAACATTAATCTTACATTACATCTGAAGATTTTGAAACCAAACATGAGCAAGCACTGAAGAAGCCAAAAACCAAGAGTAAACGGAGGCTGTACATAATAAACAGATGTGAATTGAGTGTAGACTTATGGCTATTTATTGTGGATATCTTGTCCTGAACTTCTCAAATGATTAGTACAAATAGCTGCAGCTACTGGCCTCTGTGTCATCTGTGGTCATCCAAAGACTTACTGCTGCTCTAAGTATCTCAGAATCTCAAACTCTGGTTTGTGCTCTCAAGGGAAAATACCAACTCAGGCATCAAATGAAAAACTCCTGTTTCATTTCCCAAGTAGTAAGTAGTCATACTCCACTTTAGACAGAAGAACTGGGGGGCTGTCCCAGGCAGCACTATCAAAACCATAAGCACATCACGTTAGGAGCCACAGATATCAAATTGTTCCAATGTATGATAATACCGTCAGATGTGTCTGCTGGGACATCAGTTGGGACTGCGATTCTGCCCCAGTGGGAACCCAAAAAGGAGAAACAGAATTTTATGTAAATACTGTTTTGTGTGCTCAAGAGTCCCAAAAACATCCTAACAGGGATGGGGTGTAGGGACGCAAAGCAACAGCAAAATAACCTTGATGAGACTTTCAGAGTTGCACTGTTCTCCAGTTTCAGCTGCTGCCATAAGCTTCCAGACTGCAGACGTAGTGTTCTGAAAGTGGCAGTATAGGCACATTTACAAATCCCCTCCAGCAAGATGTGCATCCCTGGGACATGGCAACTGCCTTGGGCTTTCAATAGCCATATTTGTCATTCAGATGTGTCCTACCATCGCCTGTTTGACCTCAGGAAAGAAAGAAGAAGGAAGTGAAAACCTGGTACAACAACAAATGAGAGATGTGGCATTTTAAACAGGAGTAAAATTACACTGATTTCAATTCCTTCCACCTTATATTGGAAACACAAATGTTGCAAATGTATCATGAAATAAAACATGCTTGCTCATTAATAAATGTCAGGAACTGTTTGATGTAAGGAGGTTCTAAACACAGGAAGTGACCAATGCACAGAATGGACTTCTGTGTTGGACAATTGAGACAAGAATTCCACTAAATTTGGATATTTTAACTGGATGGATGAGAGTAATGCCCTGGGGATTCTTTCGACACCTTAAGCTATAATAGGTCTGGTAATCCATATCTATTTTGTAATATTTTATTATGACCCCCTACTGAATAGAAATAATTAACTTAACTACTTCTAGTGTCACAGAACATTGCCAAATCCTCAATATTATCTCGAAACACAATGCAATTGAATGCAAATGAATTTATGTGGTCGCCCATCACTTCTGCTAGAAATGTACTTCATATATGATGAAAAAGCACTGATGGTTGTGGAGATGAATGTTGCTTTGCAGAAATTATAAGATCCCATTAACGGCAATGAGATGAATGATCTTATGTTTGAGTTGGAATTTCAGTGAGGGCAAGGGGAAAATAGCTTTTTTCTACTAGTTCACGGCATGTAGGTGTGCTGTTGGAAAGATGAGTATTTATTGTCTGACCCAAATTGCTTGAGAACAAGTATTCAATATAGATACAGACTCTTAGTAGAGGAAAACGGACAAATTAAATCAATCATGGCATGTTGAAGCTCTCCAGAAGTGCAATTGTAAAACTAAAATGCACTACAGAAAGCAATTGTAATCTGAAGTAACTATTTGACCAGTTTTATTTCAACAGGAAGAACTGTTATGAGGTGTAGTGAAGACAGAATATGGTTTTATATGTTAAAAAGTAAATTTGACAGATCGCTGGAACAGGGCAACTCATGGCTTTCCCCTTTGCTCCATCCTGGTCTTAAAATGTTTTGCCCTTCAAGGTGCTGGAAGTTTGAGTTGATAATGATTTGGCAGGGTAACAGGGCATCTGGGACATGGTTGAGTTATGGGATCAATAGTTTATCTACTTACCCAAAAAAGACGGAGAAAGAATCAGAGGAAGTACTGAGAAGGTGGCTGAAATCCAAGAGGGGGGAAAGACACAGGAATGATTTAAAAAAAATGCAAAAACCCAAAACTAGGCACTTCTAAAACTTTCAAGAACTTGCTACCTAAAGGAATGAGTCGCTTAATTAGTTTCTTCCTGGATTAGAGGTTGTTATGGCAACAATCAATCATTACTTTTCCTTGTTGTTTCAGGGGATGTTGTTGTGCAGTTCTAATTTCTCTTAAACTAAGTGGCTTGCTCAGCCACGTGAGGGTGCAGTTAACAGTCAACAGTCAATCACACTGTTGTGCATGTGGAGTCACCTGTAAGCCAAACAGGTAAGGATGGCAGATCTCTTTCCCTAAAGGACATTCATGAACCAGATAGGTTTTTAACTTCAGTCAAATAAGGTTTCTTTGTCACTTTCACTTATTTATTAATTGAATTTAAATTCTATCTGCTGCCTTAGTGGGATTTGAACCCAAGTCCCCAGAACATTAGCCTGGTCATTACAATTATGTCAGCACCGCACATCCTTTAAAGAGTTTTCAGACTGATAACTAACAGGCTCAAGTTGTTGTGTTTTATGTTTAAGCCTTTGCAAATAGAGCAACATCATGTGAGAATCATAGTGAGGCCAACAACGAGATGTCATATTTGAAAAACTGTGGAGTGATATAAAACAGCAGCAACTTTTCATGACTTGTCCTTCCCAGATTATCTCATCTACATCACAAGTTATGGCCCATGTTGCACGTTAATAATGGTACATGCCATCCAGACAGTGATTTTTTTTAGCAAATTCCAGCCCAATGTAGTTCACTGCTTCAGAAGTGTAAAAGTATTTGCAGAGATGTACCTGAAGGGGGCATCCACACACAATAGTCAGGATCATTCTCTGGGTAGTACTCTGATGAGAGTTGGTGAGATGGCTGTGGGAAGAGAATGATTAAATAAACAGAAATAATTGGAGGAAAAGTTAAATAATCAGCAACAAGGTGCAGGGCTGGATGAACACAGCAGGCCAAGCAGCATCATAGGAGCAGAGAGGCTGACGTTTCGGGCCTAGACCCTTCATCAGAAAAGGGGGAGGGGAAGGGGGTTCTGAAATAAATAGGGAGAGAGTGGGAGGCGGATAGAAGAGGGATAGAGGAGAGGATACAAACAGGTCGAAGAGGCGGGGATGGGGCTAGTAAAGGTGAGTGTAGGTGGGGAGTTAGGGAGGGGATTGGTCAGTCCAGGGAGGACGGACAGGTCAAGGGGACGGGATGAGGTTAGTCGGTAGGAGATGGAGGTGCGGCTTGAGGTGGGAGGAGGGGATAGGTGGGAGGAAGAACAGGTTAGGGAGGCAGGGACGAGCTGGACTGTTTTTGGGATACGGTAGGGGGAGGGGAGATTTTGAAACTTGTGAAGTGCAGTTGTTTATTGCGAACCGAGCGTAGGTGTTCTGCAAAGCGGTCCCCGAGCCACCTCCCAGTCGCGAACCATTTCAACTCCCCCTCCCATTCCTCAGACGACATGTCCATCCTGGGCCTCCTGCAGTGCCACAACGATGCCACCTGAAGGTTGCAGGAACAGCAACTCATATTCCGCTTGGGAACCCTGCAG